ACTTCAGGCAAAGAAAAGAGCAAAATTGACATATATAGAGAGAGAGACAAAAATCCCTATATCAATAATTTCATAGGAATGTTGCAATGTTAATTTAAAGGTAGATATTAATAAAACTTTTATCTATGATCCAATTTCATATTAGCTATTACATTGGATTCTCTTCTAAGCTAATTTTCTTAGCTTTCTGGACTTTAGTTTGCCAGTCTTAAATGCCCTCTGCCCAGGCCATAAAACGAGATCCAGTGGGAAAATCATGGTATCAACTAAATTAAGTAAACTATATTTATATAGCATATAGAGTTTACCATATGTACTATATATATATAAAGTATTTTATAGTAGCATAAATAATCTTTATATATAATGATCTTAATATAGTAATCATGTTTTTTAGTACCATTTTCACTTAAACTAGAAATATGTATGTGTATTACTCAGTACTTGAAATCAAGAAATTGCTGCTCTTGTTAATATTTTATTGTTTAAGAAAACAATTCACGAGAGGCTAAGTGAGTAACTCTAAGCTTAGGAAGCTGCCTTAAATGATGAAACTCCAAAATATCCTATGACCAGAAAAGAGACCAGAAGGTGCAAACAGCTGTGCAGAATTACAAGAAAGAAAGCAAAGCCTTAGCGGCAGATTGAAAGTCAGCAGCCTGGTGACGAGAGGTTACTGGGGGAATACTTTAAATAACAGCAGAGGGAGGGAAGTGCACACGTGAATAAAGAAAAGGGAAAAAGAAAGACACCTGCTTGGACCTGTTTTGTTTTGTTTTTTTTTTTTTAGAGTTGGATAAACAAAGAGATTTACAAAGGTCACATATTTAATGAGTTGACTGCTTTGATAGTGAAATACAAGTGAGTTGCCAGAATTAGATGTCTTAAAAACTCAAGAGAAGGGTTGTAACACACGTAGGTGTAAAGACAGATAGTAAAAATGTTTGATGTGTTTAAAAATATGCACTATTGAAATGAATTGCAAAGTCTTATTTAACATAAATCTTCACATTTGAAAGTTGGTCTTTGTTAAGGAATGAAAGTTCATATTTTATCAGTTTATCACACAAGTCATTACAATACCTGGAGAATACAGTATTTGCTTCTAATTTTAGTTTTAAAAGCTTTCAGAAAAAACTAATAACTACTTACAAACACTAGCACAGAAATATACATTCATTGTGGAGAATTCAACACAAAATATATGTAGAATGAAAGAGTTAACTCTTCCTTTTCACTGGACTTCGATTCCTTTCCTCTCCCTACATAAAGGTAATATGTTTTTAAATGTTTGCAGTATCTTTCTGAATCTACTTCTATGTAGTTTTTACTGTGTATTTTACGTGAATATATATATATATACACATACAATTTTAAGTTTTATACAATGGTTTCATACTATTTATATAGTTTGGCATTTGTTCTGTTTTTATTTATTGTCCTTCATAAATTCTAAGTCAGTGTATATAATCTACCTCATTCTTTTTAATCTCTGCCTAGACTTCCATAGAATAAATGTATCAAAATATATTCTATCTTCTATTAAAGGATATTTAGGTATCTTCCATATTTTTTTACCATAACAAGTAAGATTTTAGAGATTTATGATAGAACAAATTAAATTTTAATTATTACCCTCAAGTTAGTGGCAAAACAACATTGAACGTTTCTTCTTTTTTTCCCTTTCAAAATCATTTGTCCTCTGCAAATTCCTACAATTTAACTTTCATTGTCTGATGTCAGATCCAAAGAAACTAACTATAGGACTGTAGGAGGAAAGCTTTCAAAATATGTAAATCTTTTCAATAGGCAGACATGCTACAAAATTCCAGTTTCGTTTTAAATACTACAATCCTGATGGACCATTTTATTAATAGAGTGGCATAGTGGACAGAGAATAAATTTAGCATTAAGGCTAAATTTTATTTGAAAGTAGTTCTAATCAGGAATACTATGCATGATATTTTGTGCCTTAGGGTCCTTGTCTGAGGAGAATAATAACAATATCACTTTCATTTGATACTGGGAGGAATAAACAAGGCATATTCATTACCCAAAGGATGAATTAAATAAATTTAGTGTCTCTTCTCTAACTGTCGCTGTTCAGTTGCTAAGTGGTGTCCAACTCTTTGCCACCCCAAGACTGCATTACCCCAGCCTTCCCGTTCATCACCATCTCCCGGAGTTTGCTCAAACTCATTTCCATTGAGTCAGTGATGATATCCAGTGATCTCATCCTCTGTCCCTCCCTTCTCCTCCTGTCCTCAATCTTTCCCAGTCTCAGGGTGTTTTCCAATGACTTGGCTCTTTGCATCAAGTGGCCTAAATATTGGAGCTTCAGCTTCAGCATCAGTCTCTTCAATGGATATTCTGGGTTCATTTCTTTCAGGATTGATGGGTTTGAACTTCTTGCTGTCCAAGGGCCTTGCAAGCATCTTCTCCAGCAATACAGTTGAAAGCATCAATTCTTTTTTCACCCACCCTTCTGTAAGGGCCAACACTCTCATCTGCACATGACTATTGGAAAAACAATAGCTTTAACCATGCAGACTTTTGTCAACAAATTGATGTCTCTGCTTTTTAATATGCAGTCTAGGTTTGTCAGAGCTTTTCTTCCAAGGAGCCAGCATCTTTTAATTGCAGCTGGTGGCTGCAATCACCATCTGCAGTGATTTTGGGGTCCAAGAATATAAAATATGCACTGCTTCCATTTTTTCCCCATCTATTAGCCATGAAATGATGGAACCAGATGCCATGATCTTAGGTTTTTGAATGTTTAGTTTTAAGCCAGCTTTTGCACTTTCCTCTTTCACATTCATCAAGAGGCTCTTTAGTTCCTCTTCACTTTCTGTCATTAGAATAGTATCATCTGCATATCTGAGATTATTGATATTTCTCCTGGAAATCTTGATTGCAGTTTTTGATTCATTCAGCCCAACATTTCACATGATGCACTCTACATATAAGTAAAGTAAGCAGGGTGACAAAATACAGCCTTGACATATTCCTTTCCCAATTTGGAACCAGTCCATTGTTCCATGTCTGGTTCTAACTGTTGCATCTCGACCTGCATACAGGTTTCTCAGGAGGCAGGTAAGATGGTCTGAGATTTCCATCTCTTGAAGAATTTTCCACAGTTTGTTATGATCCACGCAGTCAAAGGCTGTACTGTGTCAATGAAGCAGCAGTAAATGTTTCCCCGGATTTTTTTTTTTTTATGTTGGCAATTTGGTTTCTGATTCCTCTGCCTTTCTAAATCCAGCTTGAATGTCTGGAAGTTCTCGGTTCACGTACGGTTGAAGCCTAGCTTGAAGGATTTTGAGCATTACTTTGCTAGTGTGCAAAGTGAGCACAATTGTGTGGTAGTTTGAACATTCTTTGGCATTGCCTTCCTTTAGGATTGGAATGGAAACTGACCTTTTCCAGTCCTGTGGCCACTGCTGATTTCCAAATGTTCTGGCATATTGAGTGCAGCAACACCATTTTTAACAGTATCATCTTTTAGGATTTGAAATAGCTCAGCTGGAATTCCATCATCTCCACTAGCTTTGTTCAGAGTGGTGCTTCCTAAGGCCCACTTGACTTCACACTCCAGGTGTCTGGCTCTAGGTGCGTGATCACACTGCCATGGATATCCATGCCATCAAGACCTTTTCCCTACAATTCTTCCATGTATTTTTGCCACCTCTTCTTAATTTCATCTGTTTCTGTTAGGTTCTTGCCATTTCTACCCTTTTGAGGAAGAGAACATTTGTGTGTGTGTGTGTGTGTGTGTGTGTGTGTGTGTGTTAGTTCTAAAAGTTCTTGTAGGTCTTCAGAGACTTCTGCATGAGTGGTTGGGGCATAGATTTGGATTACTGTGATATAGAATGCTTACCTTGGAAACAAACCGAGATCATTCTGTCACTTTTGAGATTACACCCAAGTACCGCATTTCGGACTCTTGCTGACTATGAGGTTTACTCCACTCCTTCTAAGGGATGCTTTCCTATAGTAGATATGATGGTCATGTGAATTAAATTCTCCCATTCCCATCCGTTTTAGTTCACTGATCCCTAAAATGTCAATGTTCACTCTTGCCATCTCCTGTTTGACCACATCCAGTTTACCTTGATTTATTCAATATTGTTCTTTTAGCACTGTTGTTTACTTTCACCACCCAATGCATCCACAAATGGGTGTCATTTCTGCTTTGGGTCTGCCTCTTCATTCTTTCTGGAGCTATTTCTCTGCTATTCCCCAATAGCATACTGGACACCTACTGACCTGGGAGGCTCATTTTTCAGGGTCATGTGTTTTTGCCTTTTCATAATTTTCTAGTAGGTATTAAACAAATGCAAAAGAATAATGTTTAACTCTGTTGGTTTAGGTGTGTGTGTGTGACTCTGAGTGTGTGTTTATTTATATGCCACCACCCCAAAATATTAACATATAAAATGCTTCTGCTAATGCATCCATTATATCCCTTGTCAAGGCACTAGAAATTAAAATGGGAAACTTAACTAAAATTTGTCTGAAGTTGTTTTTTTTTTTTCCCCTCAATATCTGGATCAGTCAAGTAAGTACTTTGACTACTTACTGTCTTAACTATGAAAATCAATGCTACATTGGCAGCAAATGTGTGTGTCAATGAATGGTTTTCAAAGTGTGGTTCCCAGACCAGCAGAAACCCCTGGAATGTTATTGGAAATGCAAATTAAGCTTCATCCTAAATCTACTGAATCAGAAAACTTAGGTGCTGAGCACAGCAACACATTTCAGTGAGTCCTGAGGGATTCTGATCCATGTTCAAAACGGAGAAGCATCACTGTATACCTTTAAAGTCTAATTACCAAAATGTGAAGTGTTATTTGTTTCACTATTTATACCTTTACAAATGATGTACATCCAAACAGTACATTCTAGCATATCAAGTGAAATTAAGATTATTATGACAGAAAACTCAAAATAGTGATACACGTTTTGTCTTGCCAAATTTTGCTCCAGATTAGTTAGTTTACCTGTGCTGCCTTTTATCCAGGTTTCAGAAATGACATTCTTACTAAGTATTTTAAGATGCTCATCAAGTAGTTGAGAGGTTAAATCTGGAATTGTTTTCAGCATCTTCCACACAATGTTGTGTTCAGATGGAGTCCTATGAATGGGCCTTAAAATAAAAAAGATTGCATATTAAGAGATTATAGCATAAATACAAAGAAACAGAGCAAAAAATCCTTGATTTTTGAATTTCCAAATTTGGTTATTCTTGTTTTTAAAATGGTTGCTCAAGAATAAGTGATAGTGTTTTCTTTTGTCTTAATAATATTTTAGACATATGTGTCTCCTTTCAAGATATGTGTTCTCCTTTCAAGATAAAGATGCACCTCCATGAAACTTTACTTTAGGGTATTAAAGTTTAATTTACATATTTATGTAAATTTACATATTTAATAGAAAACACAGTGCCTTCAGTTTTAAGATTATATATCTCATTATTAGTTATTATAATAACAATACCTTTTTAGACAGTAAAATGATTGATGTTTTAGCTATTATTTATTCTGTATTTTTAAAACACTATTACAATCACAGCAAATGAATCTGTAATTTAACATTTGAGAATATAAATGTTAACTTGAAAGATGCATGTGTAATTTTAAATAAAACAGTTATCCTATGATAGATGATATTTATTTACTTTTCATTCAGTTCACTTGCTCAGTCATATCCAGCTCTTTCCAACCCCATGGACTCCAGCACTCCAGGCTTCCCTGTCCTTTATTGTCTCCCTGAGTTTGCTCAAATTCACATTCATTGAGTCAATGATACCATCCAACCATTTCATCCTCTGTCACCCCCTTCTCCTCCTGCCTTCAATCTTTCCCAGCATCAGGGTCTTTTCCAATGAGTCACTTCTTTGCATCAGGTGGTCAAAGCATTGGAGCTTCAGCTTCAGCATAAGTCCTTCCAATGAATATTCAGGACTGATTTCCTTTAAGATTGACTGGTTTGATCTCCTTACAGTCCAAGGGACTCTCAAGAGTCTTCTCCAACACCACAGTTCAAAAGCATTAATTCTTCACTGCTCAGCTTTCCTTATAGTCCAACTCTCACATCCACACATGACTACTGGAAAAACCACAGCTTTGACTGTACCTTTGTAAGTAAAGCAATGTCTCTGCTTTTTACTATATTGTTTAGATTTGTCATAGCTTTTCTTCCAAGGGGCAAGCGTCATTTAATTTCATGGTTGCAGTCACCATCTGCAGTGATTTTGGAGCCAAAGAAAATAAAGTCTGTCACTCTTTCCATTGTTTCACCATCTATTTGCCACAAAATGATGGGACTGGATGCCATGATCTTCATTTGTTGAATGTTGAGTCTTAAGCCAGTTTTTTCACTCTCCTTTTTCATTTTCATCAAGAGGCTTTTTTGTTCTTCTTCACTTCTGCCATAGGGTGGTGTCATCTGCATATCTGAGGTTATTGATATTTCTCCCGGCAATCTTGATTCCACCTTGTGCTTCATCCAGCCCAGCATTTCACATGATGTACTCTGCATATAAGTTAAATAAGCGGGGTGACAATATACAATCTTTTTGTACTCCTTTACCAATTTTGAACCAGTCTGTTGTTCCATGTCCAGTTCTAACTGTTGCTTCTTGACTTGCATACAGATTTCTCAGGAGGCAAGTAAGGTGGTCTGGTATTCCCATCTCTTTAAGAAATATTCTTAAGAAATAGTTTTCAGTTAACTAGCACCCACTTTTAACATCATTTAAAACTGTGTACTTCAGATGCAATAATAAAGAATTAGTACTCAGAAATGGCATGATATTATAACCAAATCCTGAAATAAATGTCATTGATTAGCAATCAAACAGAGATGACAAGGAAGTAACATCACAGATTTTAAAAACAGACATAAATTTTTAGTGTTAAAACATTTGATATGGTAATTGCTTGCAATAATTTGAAAGATAGACCAAGCACCTGCATCTTCTCAGATAATACTTGGGAAAAGACAGAAAGTTACTGGGTTTTGTTTGCTCAGAGTTAGTTATATTATAAAAATTCACACAGCCATGAATTATTACCTGGGTAAAATTGACTAGTTATCAAGCTAATGAAAAGGATTAAAGAAGATTCAGAAATGAACTGTGTAGTTAGATACATATAATAGCCACATCTACCAATACGGATGAGTAGCTTAATGCTTTTCATCAAATTGGAAAGATTTGGCTATTCTCTCTTCAAATAGTCTCTCTTTTATTTGTTCTCTCCCTCTGGGATTCTCATTGTGTTGATTCTGGTATACTTGGTGGTGTCCCATGGGTCTCTGAGGCACTGTTCATCCTTTTCATTCTTATTTTTTCTGTTCTTTTGACTAGATCATCTTACTAAGTACATCTTCTTGAAGTTTATCAAACTTTTCTTCTGCCAGAGCTAATCTATTTCTGAACCCTTATAATGAAGTTTTTATTTGCTACTGTACTTTTTAACTCCATTATCTCTATTTGTATCTTTTTTGTAATTTCTTTTATTGATATCTATGTGGTGAGACATTATTATTCTCATGAGTGGGTGAAAGTGTTAGTCACTCAGTCGTGTCCAACTCTTTGCAATCCTTTGGGCTGTAGACTGCCAGACTCCTCTGTCCATGGAATTCTCCAGGGAAAGATACTGGAGTGAGTTGTGATCTCCTCCTCCAGGGAGTCTTCCCAACCCAGGGAATGAATCCGGGTTCTTTTCATTCTTATTTTTTCTGTTCTTTTGACTAGATCATCTTACTATGTACATCTTGAAGTTTATCAAACTTTTCTTCTGCCAGAGCTAATCTATTTCTGAACCCTTATAATGAAGTTTTTATTTGCTACTGTACTTTTTAACTCCATTATCTCTATTTGTATCTTTTTTGTAATTTCTTTTATTGATATCTATGTGGTGAGACATTATTATTCTCATGAGTGGGTGAAAGTGTTAGTCACTCAGTCGTGTCCAACTCTTTGCAATCCTTTGGGCTGTAGACTGCCAGACTCCTCTGTCCATGGAATTCTCCAGGGAAAGATACTGGAGTGAGTTGTGATCTCCTCCTCCAGGGAGTCTTCCCAACCCAGGGAATGAATCCGGGTTTCCTGAATTGCAGGCGGACCCTTTAATGTCTAGGCCACCAGGGTGTGTGCCCTCCGTGTGCATGCTTAGTTGCTGTAGTTTCTGACTCTTTGCGATCCCATGGACTGTAGCCCGCCAGGCTCCTCTGTCAATGAGTATTCCCCAGGCAAGAATGCTGGAGTGGGTTGCCGTGTCCTCCTCCAGGGGATCTTCCCAACCTGGGAATTGAACCCAGGTCTCCTGCACTGCAGGCGAATTCTTTACCATCAGAACCATAGTATGCAGCTAACTCTGTTCATTTCACTTATTCATCTAATACTTATTTGGAGATTTTCTTAGATGCCTGAACCATTAAGTCACCCAGCTTTTACCAATGGGCAGGCTGTTTTCATGTTCTACTTTAATTCATTAGAGTTTACTTTATTTCTTTGAACCTCGTCATAATGGTAGATTTAAAATCTTTGTCTACCAAGTCTAACATTTGAAACTTCTAAAGGCATTGTTTGTTCTTGGCTGATTTTTTTTCCCTACGAATGGGAGATACTTTGTTATCTCTTTGCATGTCTCATAATTTTTGTTTAAAATTGAACAGTTTGGATAATGTAGCAGATCTGGAAATAACTTTTCCCCTCCTTCCCAGGGCCAAATAGCAGCAAAACCTTATGAATGTGGCTTTTCCAGGACACTGCTAGACAAACAGTGTAGCAGAGATCTGGGTGTGGGTTTTTAAGGTGCTTCTGAACAGTCTGTCCTTCTAGAAGTTTCAAGGCTGCCAGTTTTTAAGACTATGACAGAACTGGAGATAGAAGGATTAAAATGGGTCAAGATAAAAAGCTACAAACCATGCTGTTTTTCTTGAATAAATGCTCCTCATTTGGTTGCATGCATTTGATTAATTTCAGAGTTCTGAAAAAAAAATTATTTTGACAGTCTTTGCCAGTATTTCATTGCTTGTATAGAGGAGCAGACATACAGAGGTCCTCAGTTTGCATGTCTAGGAGGCCTGGACTCCGTGCTGAACCTTAAATTCGCTGATGGATAGCAACACCCCTAATTTCCTCCCACAGCACAAAGTCAGCATAGATTTCACTCAATGACAAGCAGTAGGAAGCACATGTGGATCTTGTGGGTGGGACAGTCAAAAACATTTGTAAAATCATATTACTAACAGAAGACATTACAAGAAATAAAGTTTAAAAGTCTGGAGGTCATCCCAAAATTATAACTATTAGTTTGATTAAAAAAAAAAAAAGAATGGGCTTATAATTTACATATTCTAACTGAAAATGCAAAACCATTTCTTATGTTCAAGTAACATAATCTTACTCTGGAAATCCTATTCCTATAAATAGTATTTATATATTCCTACTTTTCAGTTTAATTCTGTCTTTCCTACTCAAGCACTCAAGAATTTTCAAATATTTGGAGTGTCGTGCTTGGAAAATGTGAAACAAGAGAGGGGCTGTAACTCACCTCCGGGCTCCTATCACCACCACGTCTGTCTCACTTGGGCTGCCCCCATGGGCACTTGTCTTTAGGGTGTCTGAGGCTATGTAATGACAAACGATGAAATTCCCCCAACATTTTTCAACGCAGTCTAACACACACCCTGGTGTTAACTATCCTTGAAATGTTGCACTAAGGCATTCAGTCCTGAAAATCTGACCTTCGCTTCCTCTCTCTAAACTGGACTTTTTCTCTTTCAACCTCTACATTTCCTGTGTGGAAGGAACTTTTACACACATCATACCCACTCCTTCTTATATCTTCCTGATCCACTCTTAATGTAGAAAAATTTCAGTGAAAGAAACCAGACTAATAAAAAGCAGACATTCATATATTGAGAGAGACTTCAGAAACTATAGTGTTCAAACTAGTACCAATAAATAAGCAAAGTGAAGCAAAGCAAAGTTGCTCAGTCATGTCCGACTCTTTGCAACCCGTGGACTGTAGCCCACCAGGCTCCTCAGTCCAGGGAATTCTCCAGGCAAGAATACTGGAGTGGGTTAAGGAACTTTTACACACATCATACCCACTCCTTCTTACATCTTCCTGA